TCTGCTGAGATTTCAAGTGCCACATAGACTAGATTCCAAGTTTAGAACAATTTAGAACATTAAAGATTCCAGGGTATTTTACATTTCATTGGAGTTAGTAAGAACAAAAATCAAAGGAAGGAAAAAACGTGAAAGTCAGTATGCAATTCAATTGCCATTTAAATCTCTTTGGCTTTGAAGGCACAAGACAGAGTAAATGCAAGAAGGAGAAATATGAATTATCTAACCTCAAGGGTCCTGCAAACCCTGGTTCCAGCTGTATCTGAAATCAGTAAAGCAAAACCATGACTGAAAGAACTTACATGGAGATTTAAGTGGTAATTGGTGATGACATCATTTGTGGTTGGACTAGATGTGAAGTGCGAAAGAAAGAGAAAAGTCAAGAATTACTCTGTTTCTGACCTGAGCAACTAGGACAGAGTTACCATCAATTATAATGAGGAAGACTATTGACACAGTGTGCATTTGTGCTAAGCTTGTTTTGTGAGATAAATTGTTCATGTTTCCATCTCCATTGATGGCCCAGAATAGTTGCAGAATCATCAAATTTATATTCTTAAATGTACCCTCCAACTTGGCTTTTTCAAACCATTGTCATTGTTGCCGTTTATAAAGGACGAAGCACTCTTGGAGATGGAGAACTAGCCAAACCACCTGAAGTAAGGGACGGTCATCACAAGAAAAATATTCAAATGCTAGTGTTTGATTAGAAATTTCAGAATAATGGCAAGGCTGTTCCTATGAAAATCCAACATATCTTCTCCCTTAAAATATACCTCAATATGATTAATTCTCCAAAAGAACTATGACATTTTGCAGACACTTATGCATAAAGTAAGACAACAGTTTGGTTCTGTGAAATCAGGCTGTAACCTCTTCCAGAGACAGTGTTGGTGCCCTCAGAATACACTATTTACATGGACAGTGCTCACCAAAGTTGTGTAATGCACTGGCCTTGACCTCATCATTCTAATTCCACTGAGAAGAGTTATGGAGAGGGTGAATTATAAATTTGTACAGGTGCTGACTGTAATAAGGAGCCACAGTGTGTACACTGTACTTAAAACCATGTGAATTATGGAGTGAATAAATAAAAGTTTCCAAAATAACATTTCCAGAAATATCTAGCATGTTTCCATTCATTTCTTTTCCTTTTAAGTGGGCCAAAACTATGTAACATGGACACCTCTAATTGCAAGGAAGGCTGGGACTTCGTTTGTTGTTTGTTTGTTTTGTAGCCTGGGAACACTGATGCTCCAAAAGCGTAGGTCTCTTGGTAACACAGAGGAGAATGAATAATTTGGTACACAGCCAGCACTAGTAGTGTCTGCCATATACACCCCGTTCTTTGTTTATATAAATTAACTTGGTTAACCATTTGTTTTCTTTGCAAAAAATTTGCTCTTAGATACCTGCAAAAAATTCCTGATAGCATTTCAGAAATTGCCCAATGATAACATTTTATATAAAATGCATTTTGTCACAATAAGAAGTAACAAAGAGAAAGACCAGTGAATTTGTGTTTCTTTGTTTTCTTTTTAATATAGAATAGGTTATAACATTATTTTGAAAACTAATTTCTTATCCCAATCTTTGATTTTACTAGTTTACTTATTAATTTATGAAAATAAACTCAAAGACACTCAGAAAACACATTTATTCTTTATTAATGCAAAAAAATTAGTGACCAGAATTGCTATTTTCTAAGTACCCTTAGATACGGCAGTGCAAACAAAATACTTAGAACAACATTTTGATATTTGTTAAGCAATCAATCATGCCACTTGAACTTTTTCATTCTCACCATATCCTGGAATACTTGAAAAGCCAAATTCAAAATATGAACGTTCTGGGCAACATAGTAAGAGTTTGTCTCTACAAAAAAAAAAAAAATTTAAAAATTAGCAAAGCTTGGTGGTGCAGGCCTGTAGTCCTAGTTACTCAGGAGGCTGAAGGTGGGTGGATCACTTGAGACCAGAAGGTTGAGATTTCAGTGAGTCCAGCCTGCACAACAGAGCAACAGCCTGTCTCTAAATAAATAAACAAATAAATAGAAATACAACAGTTTTTGGAAAATATGAAATCAAAGCAAAATAAACTAGTTAGACATGAATAAAATAGGCCATGTGGAACTCAGAAAACTGTCATTATTCCAGAGTACACCACTTTGATGAGCAAAATGCTTATTTTCCACATAATCTCTGCCTCTTTTTCTGTTTCTATGCTTCCCACCAGCCTCTCCTTCTCGGTCTGTTTCTTCCTCTCTTTCCATGTGAGGACAAAATTTGATAAATGATGCATCCTGGTCTCTGGTGTATCATTTCTAAAATCACATTGATAAGGACAGGAGGCAGGAAAATACTGGGTAGAAGAGGACAGCACCCTGCAAAGGCCCCACCCTCAAGCCTGGAAACACACAGCCCTAAATAGAAACATGCATTGCTAGTTTTCCCGTCCAAATATCACCTTTTCCAAGGCCCCTCTGGCCTGCCGTGCCCCTATCCTCTGCTCATATAGATCGCAAGCTCCACAAGCAGAGAAACAGAGGAGCAGAAGAGTGGCAGAGTGGCAGAGCATTGCAGCAGTAAAGGAGAGAAGAGAAGGAGCATCCGAATGTTGAGAGGAGTTTGGCTGGGGATGGTTGGAGGGGAATTTACCATAGACGGCCAAACCCCAGTGGAAAGTCATCTTCCCACTCCATCCCCTTTCCAGCTCCCCATCCATCTCACTGAGACCCACCTCCACCACTCAATGAAAGCCCCTCAGTCACCATCCTTCAAGTCCAGGTGACCTGATTCTTCTTGCACACTGGACAAGGACCTGGGTACCAAGCAGTCAGGGTGTAAAAGGCTGTTACCCTGACTCTCCACTGAGCTGATTTAACACTTAGCCATCCATGGATGGCAACTGTTAAAAGGGCATTAGTTGTAACACATCCCTAGATGCTACCATGGGGCTGGAGCCCAAAAGCGCTTGCCTCAGCTCCTGTACTTGCCCATGTGCATGCTCCCCCTCCCGTAAGGGGCTTGAGTGAGTGGTGGTGAGCAAATAAGTCACACCCCTGTCACAAGTCCTACGACGGGGTCAGGGAACTCTCCCATTTCAACATGCTAATCAACAACTTATATCTATGTACAACATTTCCTTAAGACAGTCATTTGAAGGTTTTTATATTTGTTTCTTTTTAGATGGATGCTTTCCATTTTAGGGGCACTCCTTTTTCTCCTTGCCAAACTGATGAAAATATCCCAACCTGTTAGAATACTATTTTATCTTACTTCTCTGAAAGCCATCAATTTTTCTTGCATTATATTTGCTTACATTCAGAAATTGACATTTCTATCTTTTCTTTTGATTCTAGGAGTTTTTTTTAATTACAGTCCTGCCACCCTATATTCCCTGCCTAAAATACTCTATTCTTTGGAACCCATCTAATGTAAATCTCAAAAAAGGCCCACTAATGAGCTAAAGATTGACATAGTAATTGTTGTTTCAATGGGAACAACATTCAGAGGGTGAGGAGTGTGCATTTCTCTTACTTCGTTTCAATGGTAGCAATCAAACTTCTAATTAAAATTAGGCCCGCAATTATTTCTAAATGATTTTGATGACTTCATTAATCTGCAGTGATGAGTTACCTCTCTAATATTTAATGTCCTAACAAGGCAAGCCACGTATTATCAAGATCAAGTCAAATTTTAGTCAGACCTCTATTTCTGGACACTAAGAATCCATTGCTTCTCTTGTATGGTGAGGGGCATATTTTCAGAAACAGTTCATGTCCTAAATAGACTGAACATTTGTCTCACATTGTAAACTTCCAGAGGGCAGACAACAGTGGCAGTTGTAATGCATTTTAGCTCCCTCAAAGGAGCACTAAGGGGAGGTGAAGAAGCTGCTCATCAACTCTCCCAGCCACTCGGCTGGAACTCCTTGGTTTTGAGGTTGAAGTAGCTGCTCTCAGAGGCTAGTGGGACCTCTTTTATTCCTGAGGGGAGAGTTGCCCTTTTGTAAGAATCACATCTTTAAAGAACAATTTTATTGTAACATGCTCAGAGGTTGCTTTTATCATAGTCCTGTCCTTGGGGATTCTCATCCGTGATCTCATGATGCTCCTAATCTTTACCTCCAATCCTATCTTCTCTTTTGTGATCTGGACTCAACTGAAACTGTCCTTATAAATTTTATAAAATTTATCATAGAAGAAGGGAGGGGAAGAAACCAAAATAAACCAAGCTTCCAGCACATTCAGCATTAATCATTAGGTCAGCTTGCTCTCTGACGTGCTTCCTCATGGTTGTTCACAGCCTACTGCCACAGAATCACATAAGCCCTGTCACAGATTATAGCTCCCCTTAACTGCTTTATAGTCAACAACCTAAACACTATGAAATATTAAATTTACCCATTTGAGGTATTCTTTCAAGGCCTGCATACCAGTGAAATTACTGACATCAGCTGGTCTGAAGGACCCCAAGGGAAGCTGACTTACCCAAACAATGCAGTTTCCACATCCTGATGATTTCATCCTTCTTGCCCCAACCAGTGAATGGCCCCAAGTTTTCATCCCCTTGCCCTCCAAAAATCCCTTTAAAACCCCGGCCCCAAACTCCTTGGAGAGATGGATTTGAGGGTCTCCTTCCATCTCCTCAGCTACCCTGAGATCATTAAACACTTTCTCTGATGTAAACCCAGCTGCCTTAGTGTATAGGTCTGTTATTATGCAGCGGGCATATGAACTTGGTCCTCTAACACAACCATCCAACTCATTTCTAAACCTTACTTGAATAACAAAGAATCAGGGCTTTGTCAACCCATTTTCTTTACTTTAAAATATGTTCATTATTGAGGAATCCCAGTTACCTATGTCAGAAAGTTGAGGCTCCGGGCTTCGCAGAAAGTCTCCGGCCAGCAGCTAGCAGGTTAAGCAAGCACCGGCTGCACGAATTTGCTCTGGCTCACCGTTTCTAAGACTGGGAGCACGCCGCATTCTCGCTGGCGAGCGGGTCGCGCATGCTCTGTGCGAGGGAGTGCTTCGCGGCTCCCGCCAGAAGCGTTCTCTCCCAGGCTGCATTTCCTTCGTGTGCGAGGCCGGCTGAGGGCATTTCTCCCGCTGCTTCTACTCCTGGGTTAACAATCAAGATGGTACATGCTGAAGCCTTTTCTCGTCCTTTGAGTCGAAGTGAAGTTGTTGGTTTAACATTCCGTTTGACAATATTTGATGCAGTGACATACTTTACTATCAAATGGATGGTAGATGCAATTGATCCAACCAGAAAGCAAAAAGTAGAAGCTCAGAAACAGGCAGAAAAACTAATGAAGCAAATCGGTATGAAAAATGTGAAGCTCTCAGAATATGAAATGAGTATTGCTGCTCATCTAGTAGACCCTCTTAATATGCATGTTACTTGGAGTGATATAGCAGGTTTCGATGATGTCATTACGGATCTGAAAGACACAGTCATCTTACCTATCAAAAAGAAACATTTGTTTGAGAATTCCAGGCTTCTGCGACCTCCAAAAGGTGTTCTTCTCTATGGGCCTCCAGGCTGTGGTAAAACGTTGATTGCCAAGGCCACTGCCAAAGAAGCAGGCTGTCGATTTATTAACCTTCAGCCTTCGACACTGACTAACAAGTGGTATGGTGAATCTCAAAAATTGGCTGCTGCTATCTTCTCCCTTGCCATAAAGCTACAACCATCCATCATCTTTATAGATGAAATAGACTCTTTTCTATGAAACCGTTCGAGTTCTGACCATGAAGCTACAGCCATGATGAAAGCTAAGTTTATGAGTCTCTGGGATGGATCGGATACTGATCACAGCTGCCAGGTCATAGTAATGGGAGCTACCAATCGTCCTCAGGACCTTGACTCTGCTATAATGAGAAGAATGCCTACAAGATTTCACATCAACCAGCCTGCGTTAAAACAGAGAGAAGCAATCCTGAAACTCATCTTGAAAAATGAAAATGTGGATAGGCATGTAGACCTGCTAGAAGTTGCCCAGGAAACTGACGGCTTTTCAGGAAGTGACCTAAAAGAGATATGTCGAGATGCTGCCCTCCTCTGTGTTAGAGAATATGTTAATTCTACATCAGCAGAAAGCCATGATGAAGATGAAATTCGGCCTGTTCAACAGCAGGACCTGCATCGGGCAATTGAAAAGATGAAGAAATCAAAGGATGCAGCATTTCAGAATGTCTTAACACATGTTTGTTTAGATTAAGAGTAAAGATCATTTGTACAGTTCAGTGATCTAGTTTGGTGTGTCCTCTTATCAGTCAGTGGAAATAGAATGGAAAGAGTGTTCTTTAAACAATGAGGGAGCTCAATGTTCATGGTTTTATACTCTGAATTCTAAGTTATTGAGATATAGTTGTTACATAAGTGGTATTACTGTTTGTCAAAAATCATGAGGAGGAACAGTTGAATCCAGCCTGAACATGGGTGCTTGTGTTTGACCTCTTTAGCCATATATTGTACAGCCTTATAGAATCTAAGCTGGTCTTAAAGTCACAAATGATTCATTGGGTCATTAGTGAGAAACAGGGATGTGGTTAGGTGCTGGTTCCTAGACATGCGAGTATGCGTTTGTGTGTGTGCGCATATGTGTGTGTTTATTAAATGTATATATCCACACATTTTATATTGACATTCTGTAGATATGTTTGAATACAGAAACCTTTTTTACCCCAACTACTGAATCCAGGAGTACCAAATAATATATAGTAAAACTAAGATTTAAGGTTGTGTCAAAAAGGTACAGTGATTCAGCCATTTCCATTTGTCATTTGTTTCAGCCTTTTTTAAGTTGAGTGTTTTTCTTTCTGCAGTTGATTAGTTGATCCTCCACATCTTGCATATATACATGGGCTCAATTATTATGTTTGTCAGGATAATCAAATAAAAATATTAGTTCGTGATCAACATTGAATGGTTGTTAGGCAGTCATGTGCTCAATACTGATTTCACCTCTTTTTGTAAGTACACTGAGTATAAACTTTTTAAGTTTAAATTGATTTACATGAAAGTGGATTAAAAGACTTTTCAAAAGCCAAGGTTTGAAAAACCTCAGTACCCTTTAATACATGTACATTACTTTCTTCATTTAATGTAACATATGTCTGTTGTAACTATGTTTCTTAAATATTATTTTAAGGTTATGTGTTCTTTAATTATGGTCAAATATAATTTGGTCACCAAAAATGAAATAATAGTTTAAAACAAGTAGCTGTTACTAAGTGGGCTAAAAATACTCATTTTGTAATTAATTTTACTTTTCTTAGTATATTATAAATTGTGCCCTGGTCAAGTACAAATGTACACATCAAAATGCCCATATTGTATCTATCTGTAGTCATTTAATGTGAATTATATGTCAAAGTTTTTTCAATATTTTACTAACCAGAATTCTGTTATAGGCTCCTAAACACGCAGCATGAGGAAAATGGCACAACACAATCTTGAGGTGCCTTCTGAATCATCAGATTAAATTATGCTTCATATGTTTTTGCTTTTACTATACTTATTTAAAAACTCTCAATCTTTATTCATGTGTTACTGGATTAATTTATCTGATAATGTCTCTCACAACAATCTATAAGATCATTTATTCTTTGGTTGTACTTTGAATGGTGGGGTAGAAGTTTCAGGTGAACATTGGATAACAAAAAGCAAGTTAATGGAAGGTTGTGAAGAGGATGGAAAAATTGAATACGAGATACCAAAAATGGAAAAAAGTGTCCCATTTTTAATAACTATATTATTATAGTTTTATAATTATATAAATGTGTAATAAAGGGGTCCCTCTTTAAAAAAAAAAAAAAGAAAGTTGAGGCCTCTTTCTCAATTTCTTTTTTTTTAACCTCTCATAATTAATCAATGATCAACTCTCAATTCTTCCATCCTTTTAACATTTCTCTGTCCTCTCCATTACTTCATTCCTGACATTAAAAAAAAAAACTTAGACCATTATCATTCAAAGTACCTCTTGATAGCTGTCTCCCAAGCACTGCTTTCCTGTTCCCGATAGTAATCTAAATGTTGTTCCCATATACACCTTTCCTGTATATGACCTGGATAATTCAGAAAAACCTATTCCAACCCCCAACTTCAGAGACAGGTCTGATTGATTGAATGGCAATTCTACCATCCTTATCCCAAAGAGTGGTTCCTAAACCTAGCTTTTCATATTCCCATGAACAAAAGATTAGATGAAGAGCACATAATCCATTTTGCCAATGAAATGCAAGGGGACAACTGCTGGAAATTTTCTGAAGACTTAAAACCTGAATTAATTCACCACATGAGGAAAACCAGCCAGAAGATAAAGTATAGCCCAGGAACGAAAGGGAAATGGATCTGAGACAGGTGCTTTAATCCATCTTCAAAGCCCACCCTACTTCACTACTTTCATTGCATGAGCCAATAAGTTTACTTATTTATTAACAGAGTTGGACTTGGAATATCTCTTATTTGCAACATAGAAATCTTAACTATTGATTCTCTGTCACTATGGTTATCACAACAGTCTCCCAAGTTATTTGTCTATCTATGGTATAAGCCCCTAATGCTGACCACTCATTCTCTTGACAGTGATCTTTTGAAAAACTTTTCAAATCTAGTCATGTGCTCCCTGCTTAATCTCCTGCCATGATACCCTATCATCTTTAGAATAAATTAAACCTCATCAACCTGACACACAAGGTCTCAATTATTGAATTTTTTTCTGTCTCCCCAGTCTCATATCTCCCTTCTTCTGAATGTAAATTCTATGCTCTAACCCTGGTCAAATGATTAGGGTTCCCAGAACACCAGGTTATCATTCACCTCTTTGCCTCTGACATGCAGATTTCTCATTCTAGAATTCAATTTATCTCCATTCTCTTCAGCAACCACCTATTTTGAACCTACATTGTATCCAAATGTGTGCAATGTGCTGGCAAAGTTATTTTCTCCTTGCTTACCTGATGCCACCCTGCTGTAAAGCCTGTCTCCTCCTTAGAGAACTGTCCTTTCTCCTTTGTTTCATGCTTCCTTTCTTTTTAACACATATACTACTGTTTTAATGGTTTGTTATAATTGGCCTCTCTTTAATGTCTGTCTTAAAGTCAAGAGATATTTATTATTTATCTCCACATTTCGAACTTCCTAAGGTCGAGGTTAGTATATTGATTTATTCACACAATTAAGCAAACAGAAAACCAGATCATTAAAACTGGGAGTCACATTAAGTATGAGCTAATACTAAGAATGAGTGAGGTGACTTACTGCCTGCTGAAAAATGGCCCCTGATACTTGGCTTCTATGTAAGAGGTGCCATAGCAAGTGAAGTGGCTGATGGTGATTGGAGAGCATGTGCAGATGCCAGAGACATGCACATCTCAGCTCAGATCATTGCTGGGAGGTAAATAGGTTCCATGTTGCCAGCACATCTGATGTTCGTTCAAAAAAAGAAAAGAAAAACCCACCACACAGGGCCAATATGATTGGCCTCACCTTTATGGACTAAATATGTCCAGGGCCCGACAACATCCTCCAATTTATTCCAGTCTCATTTTGCAAGTGAGGAAAACAAAACCAGAACCAAAACACAGATTCCCCTAAGAGATCACTTGATTGAGATTACATGCCTCTCCTGCACACTGTAATGGACGCTGCACATTTAAAGGTTTAGAGGAGCTTGTTTATCTGTATCCCTCCTCCATCACAGTGCATGTTCTATGAATGTAGAGAGTTCCCTTGTCTTTCACCTTCCACAGGACCAGGAACGCAGTGCTCTGGAAATACTCCTTGAATGGATATTAAATGGAAATCATGCTGCTGTCAGACAGTATTTGACCCTTGGCATCATCACCACCTTTAACATGTAGATTTGTAGATCCACTCAATAGGACATTTCATAAAACTTGCCTTACTGAACTCTTGGAAGTTTGTAGTGGAATGGATGGTAGATCTTAAGGTACTGGGAGAGTTATGTAGATTAGTCTCTGCTACAAGGCATAAAGGTGACATAGAAGAATAACGACTTGTGTTAGGCAAAGAGGAAGAAGCATCAGTTATAGAGGTGGATATGGAGAGCGTCCTTAACTGAGTGACCAAGTGTATGTAGGGTTCTGACAAATAGAGAATGAACTGTTGACCTGAGGAGTTGCTGTGCCACCTCAGCAAATGTTGGGCATATATTCACAGTGTCTTGCTGCACTCATTTTTGCCTCCATGAGCATCTCTGTACTAAGTAAATGTGTACGGGAGATTTTCCTAGCTCTCAAAGGCAGAATAATGGCCTGCTACATATCCATACCCCAATCTTCAGAACCTGTGACTATGTTACGTTACATGACAAAGAGTAATTAAGATAATGCATGGAATTATTGTGGCTAATCAGCTGACCTTAAAATAGGGAGATTATTCTGGATTATCCAGATAAAACCAATATAATAATAGAGTCCTTATAAGTGGAAGACAGAGACAAAAGAACCAGAGTCAGGTGTAAACTAAAAATAAGTCTAAGCCCCAACCAACTGTACAAACCCCCTCTTGGCTAAGAAGACACCATTAAAAACCTTGAAAACTGACAGGCTGGGAGGTCAAACACACCTGGTTATACTCCCTTCCTTTTGGAGTTTAGGAAAAACAGTGTTAGACCGGAGATCATAAGACTGACGGGACAGACTTTGTGGCAGTCAGATATCAAACTACAAACAGGACCTAAGGCCATGCCAGGCAAGGGTTAAGTCATCCACCCTTATACTTAAAAAATAAATTATGTTCTAATTGTCACAAATATTTCCTTTTTCTGTAGCAAGTGGCTAAACAAATACTGGCCTTGAAATAAGCAATGTTGAAACTTTCCACTTTACCAATCATTAGACGCTGACTAACTGAGGGCCCCCGTTTCACCAGCCCTAACTAAAGCTTTGATTGGACAAGAGACTGATTCAGCAACTTTCTCCTGATTAGAAGACCACTGACCATGGATAAGGTTTGGTCAGTTTACAAAGGCTGCACACGTGAGTGCCTTTGTGTCCCGAGAAGACTTTTAGACATACAGGGTCTAGTTGTCATATGTCTAAGTGTTAAGTCTCCACCTCAAAGTGAACACAGATTATATGTTACGTGCATGTTTATTAGTGCGCATGTGTCAGGACCATCTTCCTGAATATTCAGAGCTTCTCCTACATCCTGTTAAATATGTACGTGTAGCCAATCTGTTCATCATAAAGCTCCTAGCCTAACCCCTCCTTCTTTGAAGTGCCACCCCTTGTCTTTGCCAGACTCTGCTTCCGACTCTGTGAAATGGCCACATGCAGGCTGTAACCCTTTACAAGAAATAAAATATCTTTTTCTGAATGTGTGGATCTTGTGTTTTTAAATTAACAGACTATGATGTGTGACCATGAATGCAGAGGTTAGAGTGATGAAGTTGTGAGCTTTGAAGATTGAGGAAGAGAACCAT